TCTATACGTAAGCGACCAAAATCCTGGTCAGAGGGTATGGCTGACAACCACACAAGGTCCACCACAGCCTCACTTTACGAATTCTTGATCCGCTCGTCGCATATCAGCAGACCTATCTCGCGGCTATTACACAAATACGCCTTGAACAGCTTGAAGGAAGTTTCGAAGGCTGTTTCTATTCAGGCCGGCGAGCTCCTCAAGGTTGCAAAGGCCGAGGACATCCCCCTTGTTCTGTATGTATGGCCAATGATCACAACTGGGTTTCTCATCGCTGATACCAAAGCTAGGCCTGCTTGGCTTATACTGCCTGTTGCAGTCCATCTCATGCGCATGAATAGCAAGTTTGCAGACTACACATCGATTGACATTCAGCGATTCGGAAACCTTATGCGGCTCCTTCATGCGATGAACACTCGGTTTGAAGGGGTGCAGTTCGTCACCAAGGTCATTCAAAATATGATTGATGCTCTCACCAGCAGCACACAGAACAGTATCAGTGAGGAAATCACCCAGTTGCAAGGTATGATGGGGCGAGTTGACCTGTTTGAGCGAGCGCAAGCTATCGAAACTGTGCTCCTGACAACCGTTGCCGACATGATCCACTCGGCTCTCGCGCATGAAGATTCGACCTTGACATCGATGAGAACACGGTCATAAATCGCCCGTTCGATCTGTGGTGGCACCGCACCATGCAGCTGTGAGATACCTCATCAAGGCTTGGGGTGTGCGAGATAGTTGTACAGCCCCTGGCTGGAGATAACATTCTTCATCATGAAGGCCTGCCCATGACACTTGCAGAAACGGAGCTGTCACGAGGCTATGTCTTCTTCGTCCATTCAGTGGTGTACCTTCGCAGGCGCTCAGTGGCGCTTGGTCGCACGATCCCCACCCACATTCAAAAATTGCAGATAGTGTCAGAGTTAGTTTGCCAGCAGTGTTGTAGCCAATCGGAGGCTGAGTTCTTTAAGAACCCGGGATGGCTCGGTGTGGTCGCATCCTTTCTCCTTTTGGGCGGAAGCCGGAACCAATTTTTCTGTCTGTTCCCGGTCTGAGCAAGCATGGGCCCTAGTTCGAGAACAATAACATTTGTGATTCTGTCAGGGGGGGGGCTTCAAGGAGAGTTTCTCCATTCGCAATGTTGCAAGTGATTTTAATTCTATAAAAGTTGGAGAGGAGATACGTAATCGCGCCCTCGAGCTATTAATATTAAAATTGACGGCGACGTACCTTGTGAAATTTGGTTGAGTTCGTTGCAAGGATGTGTTGAGAATTTCGGCCTTATGCATTGATACGCAGGTCACTTGGACATAACGGCATGTGCGATTGACTGAGCTATCCAGCTTCGGCCCGTGTCTTTGTTCACGAATGGGAACTTGATTAGTTTCAGTCTAGGCTAGACGGGCCATGCACAAGTTGGACGGGCTGCATTAGTAACACCTCGATCCTCCATACAACAGCTAGCATTTGCGCCACCGAGAATCCATTGGCTCTGGGTGACCCTAGCATGTTGCACTATGCCATATTAGACATAGCTGAAAGGTGTAAACAGTAGGCCTCGTTCCCCAGACACGGCGCCCTTGACAACTCCGCAAACCCCGCAAAACCCCCCCATGATTCGCAGAAAAAGCTCTCTCCCTGGGCTACACTACGTTCGTAGCACGAACATCTGGTGATGAGCGGAGCATCAGCTTCCCATCATTGTCATTCCCATCGTCAATCCCATCGTCAATCTTCCGTCGCAGCTCAACACGCCACGATTCCAGATGGCAGGATCGAGACAGACTCCAAAGTGCACACTTGCGTGTAATCACTGCCGCATCAAAAAGGCCAGATGTGAGCTTCCATCTCCGTCGCAAAACATTGCTGCTCGCGCACTGATTCAGTCATTCATTCCCACAGGCAGCGGCGTGAAACCATGTGGAAACTGTTTGGTATATATAGACGGAGGCATGTCTTGAGGGACCAGCTCAGTGACTGTGACGCAGGACCACAACGAAGAGTGCTGGTTTCCCCCAGCTCAACAGAGGACTCGAAAGCGTAAGGATCGGGATAGGGTACTGGATGAACGATTTGCGCGCCTGGAGGCGCTCATCCAGAGTTCGCGAATCCTACCCCAGCCTGAAGCCGCCGTCGGGATATCGGCACCTGGCCCTCGAATCTCGAACCAGGATGAAGAAGTCACCATCCACGTGGCCGCCTCTACACCGCCTGCGGGAGCTGCGACAACCCAGTTTCATAGCCCTCAAGCAGGCTCTATATCAGCGGCTGGCCCTCTGCAACCCCCCAGGGATATGCCCCAAGTGGACACGAATGTCTTTGAGCCATGGACTGATGCAGTCTTGCCCGCTGTCGATGGCGCTTGTTCCTCTGCGCTCGACATATCTGCCAGCCTCCGAGCACCGTCAGAAGTAACGCAGCCGCCACCCTACGGAGAGCGAGAACACTCTGTCCGGAGAGTTCTCAGTCCCAAAGAACCAGCGCCTGGTAAGGAGAGTCAGCCTTCGGCCCAAGAGCCCGTTTCACCTCCTGCCACAACTTCCGCAGGGTCGTGTTCTGACATAGGCATCGAGGTATGTGTGCCTGGACCCGCTTCAGGTGAGAATGCGCCAGCTAATGAGTGCAACAGGATGTCAGCGAAGTCCACGGTCAGCTCCAGCCTCTGTCCAGTGAGAACGAACTTTATTGACCAGAGCTCCCTAGGTCCTGCCTCATATCTTTCAATCTGCTCAGAGCCGGCGGTCGATTGGGTTTCGCACCACATCGGCGCGTCGAACTTCAGAACTCTCGCCCTCCGACTCACGACCGACGTGATGCGCAGCGAGAAACTGGAGCGCACAGTGCAGTCGGAAAGAACACCCGAACCAGACTCTCAGACGGCATGGAAATGGACGACAGGTGGGTTTTCCGTGGGATCAACATGGTAATAGGAAGAGAGGTTGACCGTGGGGGTGCAGCATTTTTTGAGCAGGGCCTGGACGCCATTTTTGGATGCATCCATCGCCCAGCATTCGAGCAGAAGCTTCGCGCCCAATTCGAAAGTAAGCAGCCTTCTGGGTCTGGTCAGGACGCCGCCTGGTACGCACTCAGAAACACGATCTACGCAGCGGGCTGTAGGATCACACTGTCCGAGGGTGCCTACCCATCCGCCTTCCTTGAAGCCCGCACGCAGGCGTGGCGATACTTTGAAAACGCTCTGTCGGTGCACACGGACCTCATCTATGGTCGCAGTGGCATTACCGCCATCCAGGCGCTGCTAGTCATGGTAAAAAATCCAGTCCACCACATCTCTTCTTGTGCTCGAAAGTTTTTGACTCTTTCGTTTTCCCGATAGGCCTTCTTCGCTGAAGCGCTTGGAAGCCCGGCTTTGGAGTACATGCTCCTCTCGAACGCGGTCCGCCTGGCACAGTCCAAGGGATTGCATCTCCAGGCGAACAAGGCCCTGCAGCTCCGAGATGAAGACGCTGCACTTCGAAACGTCATCTGGTGGAATCTCTACATGTACGACAAACACTTAGCATATCGCTCTGGTCGACCTAGCGTAATACAATTCTCACCCTTGCTCTCCTGTGAAAGTCAAGCTAAATCTTACTCAGGCCATTGACGACGACGACATCAGCTGCCCCATCCCGACTGTCGTAATTCCAGGCCATCAACTGAATCTCGAATTTTTTCGCAACACGGTCAACCACGCCAAAATCTCGTCGCTCGTCTTGAAGCGTTTGTCGACCGTAAAGGCGATGCAGCAGAGTCCCGAGGATACGTTGACAGTGGTTCAGGATCTGCATCAGGAGCTTCTCGCCTGGTACGAGTCTTTAGCACCGTGTTTCCGGAGCAGCCCGCCCTACCGAGCGAAGAGTTTACCGCTGGGGATACAGCCTCAACACGTCATCTTCACCCGGTTTATCTACAGCGGGTCACTCATCGCAATGCATGCTGGTTTCTGCCAACCGTGGAGCCGACCTGGATTGGCGTCCAGCTCGAGTCCTCGCGTTGTTGCCCAGAGGCAGCGCAGCACCGAGATCGTGGCCTCTGCCGCCAGAGACATCATCATGGCCACCCAAGGCTTGACCGTCTCCGCAGGGTCGCCCGTATGGTCAGTGTCTTCCGGTTTTCATTCTTCCCCCTACCCCCATCCTCTCCCTCTACGTGGTCAACGGACTAACACTCGTGTAGGCTGGCATTCTACTTTCCGCTCGTGGGCCTGATCAATTTGTTCCTCCACGTAATCCAGCACCCGACCCTGCCCACGGCCAATTCAGACATCTCTTTGATGGACGTCGTCGTCGGTCACTTTGGCTACATGGAATACGCAAGTGGATCTGAACTAGTTTTCAAGTTTCCTCGCAAAGTCGTTCTGTACGCGAGGGAAGTTGTTAAGCGAGCCAGAAGGCCATCAATCAGTCAGCATTCTGATCAGCAACCTCCTAATACCGCCGATGTTATGCTGCCGAGATTCTCAGAGCCTTGTCCAGACTTCCCTTTACCCGAGGTACGCCCTCCTAGACTATGCGCCGACTTGACTGGTAACCTAACTAACCGTACCTTTTAGTTTGTGACCTCGGACATGTCAGAGATAGGGTTCGAAGACTGGCAGAGTAGTCTTGCTGACTTCGCCGATCCGCGCCAATGGTTTCAGAGTATTCCTAGGTAGAAGGATTTTGATGTGTATACTCGCCCCATGCCCTGATTTCCCAAGCGAATGGGGAGGGCAGTTATGAAATGATCGTAATCCACCTGCCGACCCCAGCTATTTATAGCGTCAAATCAACGTACTTTTTGCTATACTCTATGTCAGGATGAAATAACTGAGGTGGAACGTAATGCCATTCGGGAACATGTCGTCCATCTGGTAGATTGGAAATGCAAAATTCCTCCGCCACGAACCTGGTGTGCTCTTGCGATATCACACCCTCGGGCTAGATACGCAACGGAAATCTCAAGAGGGCACCGTCTTTCTTCGCCATCTTTCCTATTTCAGACTCGTAGGGCTTCCTGCCCGATCATGACTGGAGCTCCTTCTTGGAGACCATGTTTTGGAAGAACTCCTCCTTGAAATTGCCATCCGAGTCCAGCCTTGTCTGAGCCTTCTGCCACTCTGACTTGATCAAGGCGACGCGCTCCGGTCCTCGGGGTCGGATGTCACATCTTTTTTGCACCCTGTCAGCTAGACGGCACTGCCGGATTTGGGAGGAACGCACTTAAAAGCCTCTGGCCTGACAATGAAGCCTGGTGTCACGGCGTCACGGTTGATAGGAAGGGGGTTGCCGTTCTTGTCCACTGCCCGGTGGAATTCAAAGCCCCATAGTAATCGCGAGATGGCCAAGAATAAGGCTCGTTCCGCAACATGAAATCCAGGACATACTCGCCGCCCCGCACCGAAAGTAAAGTGTGGTCGGTTGAGCGAGTCGGCGTTGATGCCATAGTTCTCATTCAGGGTCGCTTCTGCACTGAAACGGGTGGGATCAAAAGTACGAGAGTTTTCGTATGTGTTGTGGTTCAAGGTCCATATCTATTATCCTTGTCAATCACTTCAAAGACAAAGCAACCCTTCAGAACTTTGACAACGCACATTCATCATGATGGTGGCGCCTTTGGGGATTTTCATGCCTTTGTAGATGTCATCGCAGACAACCGAATGTGGCACGGCGCCGCTGATCGGACTCGGTGCCCCTGCAGGTCTTGGTGAGCAAAGCGTCTGTCGATCAAGGCGGCCAGCGTACATCTCAGGGTCTCTTCCACCACAGCACGGATGTAAGGGAGGCGTTCCCGGTCCTCCCAGGAAGGCATACAATCGGCGCCGATGATCTGGTCGATCTCTTCCTGCGCCTTTCGCTGCACGTCGGGGAAAAGGACCATCGCTTTGACGAAGCCTAGCAACGTATTCCAAGTGGTGTCTCTGTGAATTATGTAAGAATAGATCTGGTGAGCTCAGCCCCATGCTTCTGCGTGTGCTTACGTTGCTGCGCCGAAACCATGCCCTGCATTATGGGCAATTTGTCTTTCTGTGAGGTGGTCGGCGTCCTTGTCAATGAGCATGTCCCGAATGAAGCCTGCAGATCATTTAGCCCGTTGGTCACCAAAGCAGCTATCCAAAAGTTTGTATTACTGGGATATCGCTTCCCACAGGCGATCTTCTCCTTGGCCCCTTCGAGTAGTTGGAAGAAAAGCCGATCCTCAAGTTTCTGAATATCGGAAAGCGCGCGTTTGAACGAGCTCATCCAGACTGGCATCACCCGATACCAGGGACGAAGGAAGGGGAAAAAGTCGACTGGCTGAAGGTTGATCGCTGCTGACGTTCGGTCCATCCACTAGGAACCTCATTGGCATCTGGAACGATAGCCAAGGGCACAAGGCTTACCTCAATAAGACCCTTGACATATCCCGTATACACATTGGGTGTTCGCCAGCCGTAAAGGACTGTAGATGCGATGCTCGCCGTATATCTTTGTAGGTTGCCAACCCAGTTGCTGGAATGTTCTACCATGTCATGCATGAGCTGCACACTGTCAAAGATCTAGCCAGATCTTTCAGTTGATTTCCCACACATTCCTGGTCCTTCGGACTTCGTACCTGATAGGGCAGATAGTTGTTTGCCGTTTTCACATTGAGACGGACGTGGTACATCTTGCGTTGGCGTCGCCATGTTTCGTCGTTGCTGGACAGCGGAAGCGTTAGCGACCTTTGCTGCTACTTTGCCCGTTGTCCAGGATAAAAGAGAGAGATTAGAGATCAGTGAAAAGTTTGCACACACTCCCGTAGAGCAATGTTCAAGCCGTCTCCGAATTCGCGCATGTAGAGATCTGGACGAGCCGAATAGATGTTGCTTCGCTTCTCGATGAGATCTTTGACTACTTCGGGGCTGTTCAGGAGGATCATATCCTGACCACCCAGTTTTAACGACATAATAGGACCATCTGATAGGAATAAGCATGGATAGATAGACCACATCATCATGGTAAGTACACTTATTGGCCCATTTTTGGAATTCGAGATGGAAATTCTGCATCGGCATCTGGAGCAGATTCCCGAGCACTGGATATGTCTTAGGCCCTTTTCGACCAGTCAGTACGGTTTCTAGTCTCATCGAAGGGAATCGTGGTGCTGCATGCCAGGTGGGAAATCTTTGGGGCGCATTCCATATTGAGCTATTCTATAGCATAGGATGCCAACAGCTGCTGCTACAACGGCCCAGATGACCACTGGATGGTACTCCGGCGCCATCAAAGTCTGATGGTCTGCTAGATTGAAACCGGGACTGGGAATAGTTGTCTCATGAGATTGAGGTTGATGTGTACGGATTCGAATAATTGAACCAGAGGCTGAAAGTAAGAACTCGTCCAAGCTCGTTAAGAGCCTATTAGGGTTTGTAGCCCATCATTCCTCCGAAATGGCCGGGCTTTGAATATTGCCCTAGATGCAGGGTTTCCTCCCTCGGAAGGACACAGGGATCCACATCCACATGAATTGAAGCAATCGGATACAACCGACTCTCTTCCTCCGATCCAATCAAGCTTGACCAAGGGTTCCCAGATCCCCCTGATGGGTCCTCGGATCCTGGACACGCTTCCTACAGCCTACATACTGGGGCATCAGGCTCAGTCACACAGACCTAACTCTCTCCGGAACCCTGAGAGAAAAAAGGTTCATGTTTGATTGTCGTCTCGTGGGATTTGTCGGATTGGTTGTGTCACTATCAGAAACAAATTTGGCACTCCTGGACTGAGCCTTACTGTCCTTTCATAAGGCTGGAAGGCGTAACTCTTACACTGAACACCAGATTGTGTTAACATTCGAGCCATGGGATTCTTGGAGCCTGTGACCAGCCGTGTGCTGGCTCACGTGCCGTATCCAACAACCTTCGCTTTGGCCGCCATTCTCCTTGTGAGTGACTGAGCCTGCAAGCATTCTCATCGATGAAGGGCTTTCTGACAAAGCTCTTAGGTTGGATGCATCATCTACTTCTCTCTCACCTATGATTCACGCCTTAAACATCTGCCTCCAGGACCCCGAGGCTATCCTTTCATCGGGAGCCTCCCATCGCTTGTGGATCCTAGTAAAGTCCCCGATATCTCGCGGGAATGGGGTCGTAAGTATGGCGAGCTGGTTTATACGAAGATTGGTGGGACACGTTTCGTTTGGCTCAATAGTCCTCGAGTGGTCAAGGATTTGATGGACAAGCGTGGGACGAAGTATTCCGGTCGCCCTTATGCCCCCATGGTTGACAATGTGAGTGGCAAAGCTCGAACGTTCTTCATGAACTATGGTGAGCGGTGGCGAAGTGTTCGCAGGGTCAGCCACGCCTGCTTGAACCTGACGGCGAGCAACTCGTATAGACCGGTGCAAGATTTTGAGTCCAAGCAGGTTTTATACGATTATCTACACAACACGGATCCACAGAAGTTCTACGACGACAACCGCCGCTATGCCGCCAGCCTAATCATGACCATCACATATGGTCGGCGGGTGGCTCGCTGGGATGATCCCCATATCGAGAAGATCTTCACGGTCCTGAAACACTTTGTCGCCATGGCGAGTCCAGGAGCCTGGCTGGTAGATGCCTTTCCTTCCCTAACTTACCTGCCATCATGGATGGTGCAAAACTGGTACAATATTGGACGGGAGTGGTTCAAATATGACAGCAAGGTTTACCTGGACCTGTACCGCAACTTGGTCAAACAGGTCGAAGAAGGCACTGCCCCCGACTGTTTCGTCAAGGATTTCTATCTTGGAAATCCCGCCAAGAATGGCATTGATGAGCTGACAGCGGCATATGCTGCAGGTTCTCTGGTCGAGGCGGGCAGCGAGTCAACTTCATCGGTCATCAACGCCTGGCTCAGAGCATGTATCCAGTATCCTGAGACGGTCAAGGCTGCCCAAGAAGAGGTTGATAGTGTGGTTGGGCCTGATCGCCTGCCCACATTTGAAGATGAGCCAAATTTGCCCTATGTCCGCGCCATGGCCAAGGAAATCCTGAGATTGGTGCCCATCACTAAGTTTGGCACACCCCATGCAACCACCGAAGACGACTGGTACGACGGGTGGGTAAATTCCCTCTTCTTCTCTCTGGATCGAAAAGAGTAACGTCGAGCTGATTCTTGATCCTGGCAGCTATTTCATCCCCAAGGGTTCGGTGGTCATGCTGAACTGGTGGGCCATTCATTTCGACCCTAAGCTGCGCCAAAACCCCTTTACATATGATCCCGCGCGCTTTGTCAACGATCCCTACAGCACCGCCGAAGCCGTGAATGCCGCCAACCCGAACGACCGAGATCATTTTGCATATGGGGCCGGACGACGGATTTGCACGGGACTCCACGTGGCCCAGAACTCCCTCTTTATCAATATGGCGCGGACGGTGTGGGCATTCAACCTGCATAAATACAAAAACCCTGTCACGGGAGCCGTCGAGGAGCCGGACATGTCGGCTGAAGACGGGTTTTTATGCATTCCAAGGCCGTTCAAGATGGTGTTTGAGCCTCGAAGTCCCGAAAAGGCGAGGATCATCGAAAACGAGTGGAAGTCGGCGGAAAGTCAAGGCATCGAATGGACGCGGAAGCAGGCAAGGCTGTGAAGCACAACATTTTAAGATAAAGATAACACCCGTAGCGATCCAAGGACAATCTAGTATCCGCATGTCGCACACTACGGTCAACATGATGAAGATACATTCTCTCTGTCTCTCGCGGGCTTCAGCGAATCCGAATTCTAAGTCAGATAATAGAGATATTGGATGAAAGCATTTGTCTTAATCAAACTGGACTATCCAAGACTGCTCTACGCAAACCCACGTATCATGAGTTGCGACTTATCCTAGTAGTGATCCGCGTCAGGTGAATCCTCATGACACTAACGCGTTCCTACTCGGACTCACATATGCCGGACGGTCGGAAACTTCTCATGCCGTAGATCAAGGAGATCCTTTCGCCATATCCCAGGGAAACAAAGCGAGAAGTGTCTCGCTGCGCTAGCAAAAGATTTCTTTGGCTACATGTTACATGACTTTCCTTGAGGCCGGCGAAGCAGATATAGTTCACACGACAGTCGAAGATTGTTCACTCATTACACCATCAAAGGCGTATGTAACCCTGCCCTCTACCTATTCTGCTGCTTCCACCAGAGCTATCCCGACATCTATTATTGCGATACGGAAAACATGGCGAGCGATTTTTCTGTCAAAGATAAGATCGTGGCGATTACCGGCGGCGGTTCCGGTACGTCTATATCGGAAGTCTTAATTTCCTCCTGGGACAGGCACATTCCCCAGGGAGCCATTGAAGCAGACCCGCAGACGACAGCCTGATGGATTGATTAACTCATCATGCAGGTATCGGACTTTCCTGCGCTCAGAATGCGCTGGACGCGGAGGCGAAGGCTGTCATCATCGCGGACTTGCGTTTGACTCCGGAGGGCGAGAAGATGGTCACCGCAAACAAGAACGTGGTGTTCGAAACGTGCGACGTGACCAAATGGAAAGACCTGCAGCAAATGATCGATGCCAGCGTGAAGCATTTTGGGGATGTCCCAGACGTTTATATTGCATCAGCAGGAGTGTTTGAACCTGTAAGTCGCCAATCGTTCCAACGGAGTAACCGTAGAATATATAAGTTGTCCTATCCGTATTTCCTCTAACCTTTTGCGCTGGATTACTCACAACTGAGAGAACAGCCGTACTCCAATTTCTGGGACGATCCGGAGGGGTTGGACGCAGATGGCTACAAGGCCGTCGACATCAACGTGAATCACCCGGTGAGTTGTGTGAATGTGTTATTTTGATCCCTGTTGACGATGTCGACCTGCAGATTAAGCTGACTCGGCTTGCTATGCGCGCACTCTTGGGTAAGTCGAAGCGTGGTGTGGTCGCCATTGTGGGGTCCATGGCGGGCTACAGCAAACAGTATCCGGCTCCCATCTACGTCGCTACAAAGCATGCAGTGGTCGGATTCACACGTAGCTTAGGGGAAGCTGAAGGGCTACAGGGTGTTAAAGTGGTGGCGATATGTCCTGGGTAAGTCTTCGTTCGCCTGATGCCCATTATCTTTTTTCTTTACCGGGTCCCGGTTACTGATCTGTCCAGAATTGTGTCAACTCCGATTTGGACCACCGGGACCTCAGGATCCGGAGGGCGGTTCGGTATTACCGACCAGATCAGCATCACCGCAGATGAAGTGGCCAAGGTACTGTTTGATACGGTAAAATCCGCCAAGTATCCTGGAGGAACAATTATGGAAGTCTCGATGCTCGGTACGCGGGTCATTCCTGAATGGCATATTGCCCCGCCGGGCGAAGCTGAAGGGGAGACGGCCGAGGGCTCTGCCACGCCAGCGGATGCAATTCAACGCGTTACAGGGTCAATCTTACAGACGACCGAAAAGGAGAAGGGAGCTCTGTTGTAGATGATTTGACTTTAGGTCAGGGTTGGAACAATGCCTTCGAGTTTAACAAGCCAGCCCTTAGACCGTGCGAAACAATTTTATTTTACCGGCATATACTGTATTCTACTCCTTGCTGAATGCCTTCACCCAGGGTGCACTGTCCTGAATACAGTTAGTTTGACACGATATTGTCCATTGGCAATTTCACTCACTCCCCAGACGCGATAGAGGGAGCACAGCGGATCTTTGGATGTGTCGCCGCTGAATGTAATCCCCCCAACGAACTCGACATCGACGATCTCCCCATTCTTGAACCATGACTTGAGTTGCCCCAAGACTATGATTTCGCTGTAGTCGGCCTTGATGGTGTAGATGTGTAGCGGTTCATGTCGGCGATCTTTCTGTGTGATCCAGGCCCCGGCACGACTAGCGGCAATGGCTGCGGAAAGATTCGAGCATTAGCCATCTCTCCTCGAAGGGGGGAAGGGCATGATTTCTGTCATCGGCGACCAATTAGAAGGTATATATACACACCTTCTCGTCCTTTCAGAGGACTAGCCAGTCCGTACATAGTGGCATCCGGGGTAAATAACATGGCCAGCCGCTCTCCGGCATCTACGTCTTGGTTATCGGCCAGGTGGTAGAAATCGTCGACCCATTTTTGGACGGCTGCTGGAGGAGGCTCTTTGGTATCTGGCCATCTAATGTGGAAAGGGCCGGCAGAAGCCATACTTTGATTCCTAAATATGTTCAAAGAAGTGCTGTAATGCGAGGGTAAACTACGAAGATGCTGAGTTGACCACTGTCAATGAGAAGGGCAAAAAATAGAGAATGGACGCCTTAGGTTGAGTTTGAGCTTAAACGAGTTGAGTATCTCAAAAGATGGTATATGAAATCCGTCCAGGCCCCCCCATCAAGCTTTCTTGCTCCCCCTAACGCTGGTCCCGGTCATACGGATAAGAGGCGGTCATTGCTCGGATGGAATTCTGCCGACCACCCGGTTAGCATTTTCCATACCTTTCCTATGTTTTTGATGTGTATACCGGTATATTCTGTCATGGCTGAGAATTGAGACTTGTACAGCAGCTGTCTCGTCACGTCTCCTATCGAAGCTTCTTTCAACATCTGGGTACTGTCGGTATAGCTGGTCTTGTGGAAGACAATTAGAAGAGGGTTTTGGTGATTGTCAAAAGCGAAGTACCAAGGAGCTCAAGGAGGCAGGAAGCAATAAGATCCTACTCGGGGAAATTGCGAACAAGATGGAAAAGGAAGTCGCAACAAACCCTGGAGCAGGGGGATCAGATGGAGCATCCAGCACAAGTCCTGTCAGAGAACAAGGACTGGAAGAGGTGCTCGCTGATGACACTGTGTTGATCATTGGAGGCGGTCCAGTAGGAATGATGACGGCAACCGTCCTGGCTTTCTATGGGATCAAATCTGTTGTGCTCGAACGCAACTTCACGACCACTTGGTAAGGGTTCCGCGTGGACAGCGTTTCTGTTGGCAGACTCTCGCGCTGACGAGTTTGAAAGATGGCCCAAGATGGACCTCACCAACGTTCGTTCAATGGAATTCTTCCGAAAGCTGGGTCTTGCTGAAGGCCTTCGGGAGCGAGGTAATTAGAAACGAACCAATTTGTGTTGGCTGCTGAGAAGTCTGAAGGTGTCCCTTCCCACATCCCCTACACCGTACTCATATCCAGTGGGCTGAGTCAAGATTCTGCCATCACACAGTGGAATCATCCCAGTGTCGACGAATACCGGCAGATGATTGCCGGAAGGAATGACGGCACGATGCCTCTAGAACCGTGGCAACGGATCTCGCAAGAGATATTCGAGGCATGGCTGAAACAACTATCGGAAACTAACGATTTGATCGACTTGCGCTTTGGTTGGAAGCTCGAGACCGTCCATGAGACAGAACAAGGCGTCGAAGCGACGGTGACTGACCTCAGCCGCTCCAAAACAGTGAGATTCAGATCCAGGTACGCCGTCGGATGCGATGGAGCTTCCAGTCGAGTACGGCGAAACTTGAATATACCACTTGATGGTGGTCCGGTGTAAGCAAATACCTGAAGTGGAAGGCATTGTTGACGCTAACGGGACTTCTTGAACACCAGGCCAGGGTTTGTGCTGCTGGTACACTTCAAGTCCCATGACCTCACAAGGCTTCACAAGCAAGGTCGGTTCTGGCATCTGTTCATGGCTGGAGAGCACGTCATGGGTGGAGCTACGATCTCTCAGGACGAAAAGGCGAGCTACCAGGTTGCCCTGATTCCACCAGAGCTGCGACTGACATATCCTAATAGGACACCTTCACCACGCACCTTTTCTTACCGATGGACGCCGACGAGTCCGCAATTGGCACGGAAGAGGCAGTCTATCGTGTTCTAGGGGGGATGTATCAGCCATATGAAGTGCAGATCGATCAGGTAATGGTACGTTCGACCTACAGACCCAGCGTGGCAGTTGCTCGCCAGTATTCCAGTCCCCAGGGATGGATCTATCTGGCGGGCGACTCTGCTCATCAAAATATACCCACCGGCGGATACGGCATGAACATGGGCCTGGGAGATGCGTACGATATCGGCTGGAAGCTGGCGGGGGTGATGCAAGGGTGGGCAGGTAAGGGAGTTCTGCAGTCCTACGAAGAGGAGCGTCGACCGGTCGCTCTGACCAACGTGGAACGGTCAGGAGTGCATATGGCTGTGCACGCCGCCGTGCCCGACATTTTGAAAGGTTTCGCCAACGAGCTCGATGCCAGCACTGACAAAGGGCGCCAGCTGCGGCAAAAAATTCACCAGCATTACCAGGCCAACGATGGCGAGAACACGGACCGTGGCATTGAGATGGGATACCGGTACAAGTCTGCGATCACGATCCCCGACACAACGACGAAAGAACCCGATTGGACGCCGCACGAGTACGTGCCCACGACCTGGCCAGGAAGTCGGCCACCGCATGTCTTTCTCAAGGACGGCAAGACCGCCATCTTCGATCTGTTGGGCAAGTACTTTACGCTAGTCCACTTCATATCCGGGGACACCGACAAGGCTGGACATGCAGAGTACTTTCACGAGGCCGCCAAGACGATGGCAATCCCCTTTGAACACATTACCTTGAGAAACGAAGACCACGCCCGTGCATTGTGGGAGCGGAATCTGGTACTTGTCCGACCCGACGGTCACGTAAGTTGGAGGGCCGATGTCATTTCGCATCGGTCCACGGCGTTTCACGTCCTAGAAGTGGCAACTGGGTACCATTATGATGCGGCCGGAGAAACAATTGCTCAGCAGAAGGCCGACATCAATGGGAAAATGGAAATTGAACCGGGAAAGGACCAACCGAGAGAATTCACACTGGTCGGAGAGGCCAAGAGTCAAGACAGTGAGTATCAACTCGACAAGATGGGCGAGTTTCAGAAGTGAAAGAGGACCATAGACTACATTGTATAAGGGTGATCCGCTGCTGAATGCGTTGTTGTATCTTTCTGTTGAGTCCTGTTGATTGATCCCGTCCATGTGCTGGAGATTCCAGTAGTCTATCTTCCACCAACCATGTATCAATGAGCTCCCAAGTGATCTATAGCGCCAATCAGATAATCAGCCTTGTTTAACTTGCCTTGTTGATTTCTCCGGGTCAAAAATCTATCATGTTTCTACAGCAATGAGAATCGGGTTGGGGCCCGGTTGACCCGGAATCTGGTCAAGCTCCCAGTTTCCGGTGAAACCGAGGCCAGGACTGCAGTGGGAGAAGTTGAGGTACATCGGTACTTAACCGCCATTGGATCCGGTGATGGAATGATGGAGTTTTACCGCAACGAACATCAGGCCGTTTTTCTTCTTCGCAGAACCCTTCTGTGTTGTCCTTCTTCCGCACATCTCATCTTGGGTGACATGACGTCTCACAAATTCAAGCGCCTCGTCCGATTCGAAGACTCGAGTCGGACTGTTCATTATGGAGAAGTTCCTGCAAGTCATCAGTGGTCCGATGATTTAACGGGGCTCTCTGTCCCGACTTACAGTGGCGGATTGCCCTGGGAGAGCGACTTCGAGCTCACTGAGACGACCGCAACAATTGCCAAAGTGTTGAGGCCCATCGAGACAACACCAATCGTCTACGGTATTGGACTGAACTATCGTCAACACGCGGAAGAGGCCAAGGTAACAGGTGCCCGCATTATGGAAATAGCCCACTAACTCTCTCATCAAGATCCCCCTGCCACCTTATCCCATGATTTTTGTCAAAGGGGTCGGGTCTTGTGAGTAGCCGTTTTCTGTTGTTGTACAGAATTCAGCTTAATATAGTCTCTTGTGACAAGACGCATTGGCCGATCCGTACGAAGACATCCCCGTCCCCAAAGAGGCCCAGTTCATGGACTACGAGGCAAGCGGCCACATTCTTCACCATGATCATCGTTCATTTGCTAATGTACACTCTCTTGCTTGTTGCAGGGCGAACTGACCATCATCTTCGGCCAAAAGGCTAAGAATCTGACCGAGTCGGACGACATCGCGGATTACTTGCTCGGCTACACAGTCGGTAACGACGTGTCGTCACGGTATTGGCAAGACCCTGTGCGGGCGGGCGGACAGCACGGCTACGCCAAAGCCTTTGACAAGTTTTCGCCTATTGGACCCATCTTGGTGTCGCCAGCACAGATCCCCGATCCGACCACACTCACAATGAAGACCTTAATAAATGGCCAGCAGCGTCAGATCACAAAGACGGACGATCTCATCTTCGACATTCCTGCTATTGTCCGGCATTTGACGCGTGGCAGGACGATCGAACCCGGCACGGTGGTCATGACAGGGACGCCGAGTGGAGTGGCGGCGTTCATGAAGCCACCAGCATGGCTGCAAGATGGGGATGTGGTAGAGGTGGAGATTTCTGAGATAGGGAAAATCCAGAACAAGATGGTGTTCGACTCAGTTTTATAGCTAGAGGTAATTGATAAATCGACGGTATCTGAGTGTCAAGGTCACCGATTTGAAATGCAGATCGGGGAATCTGAGGCGCGAAGCTACCAAAGGACAGGACTTCCCTTTCGTCCACGCAATCTGTCTTTCCGTTTCCGCCTCCATCTTCATCCCTTGACGATCTTACTGATCTTCGTCTCAATGACGGGTCCCTTTCCTCCGCTATTCACAAGAAACCGACTCGCCCCAACAAAGCGGCTGATCTCTAGACTTTTGAAATTTGGTGCACCAGTCTCCCGCATCAAGTCAGTCTGAGGCATCATGCATTATGTTATGTCTGAGGGACAACTTACCTCGAATGTGATATGTGTGACTAGAGAGAGACACACTGTTAGCGAGACGGCCTCTTATCCTACACGATCTATTTTGGAGGATACTCACACACGTGTCCAAAGTCCGTCGTCTTCGCATCCGGGCTGCCAGCTAAGATCAGACCGAAAGCAGGAGTTACTTCGATATGGCCTGTGTAGGCATAGGAGATGGTCTACGTAACTCCGTGTTATTTGAATTGGAACAAGAACGAACAGGGGAACGCACTGTGCCATCTTCATTTCTGTCACGTCGCAAATTAACAATTGGATATTCACGATTTGGATATCCTATACTTACTTCAAAGCAGCCTTGACGTCGATTGTCACATACTTCATATCCTCGGTGACTTTGAAGTGGTCGGTGCCGAATAAAATTTGAGCGTCCACGGCAGGCTCAAAGCCTGGTTCACTCTTTAATGTGCCCGCATTGATGAGCTATATTCAGCAGTCAGCAGTCAGCAGAATCAACTTTGATTCCTCTTCTCTTATCGCTACCCTTCTCGGTGTGAGAGACTGGGCTGCAGGATTCTGGGTCTATTTACCGCGATACATAGCTGGCTGCCGCTGTTGATTTTTCCTATTACCACTGGTCAACCGTTGCGGGTTGATATATTCCAAGGTTCGTTGAATACCAATGTTCACCGGTGCATCGAATGTAATCTGAGAGGTCACGAATACTTAATACTTTTGGGACTTTTGACTGGATAGGAGAGTTGGTTTTGGATGGGGAGGGGGAAAACTTGCCTGCGCTGTAAATGCGGGTTGTAAGGCTGCGAAGCCCGACATTTTTACAGACAAGAGGAAGAAGAATCAGACCAGCGAGCTCTCTATAAGACAAGTCACTGTCAAAGGTAGGTACCTGTTAGAGTTCTCTGCAGTGTAAATAATGGGAGTCTTGTCCAGCAGGTCTAACTGTGAGTTCTCATGCGACTTTTCACTCAGCGCCTCCCGCAACATAGGGCGTCGGAGCATATGACACCATGGGTCGATGCCCTTGCATAAAGAACCGGATAAATTGGCACAAACCCCGGTTGGTTTTGTGACCCGTTCACCGGTGTACGTGTATGGCCACTTTAAGCAGGGGCCTAACCAGCAGGAGGGGGCGAATTGCAGAGAAATGTCCCAATGTCCTGTCTTGCCGGCATGAAGGAAGTTTGTCAAGAATGCCTCTGACGCCGTTTGA